TTTTTGAGCCACATCCTTTTCAATTTGCTTACAACTATAATCAGCCCATAATCGAAACCGAAAGGGAAACCTTTACTGGAAATGTATGGCCAATATAAACCAGCACCAAACAATGAAATGAATATTACTGCAGTCTGGATCTTGTAGACTCCAAATTACTTTAGTTATAAAACCATGCAGCTTCATTAGAATATACACTATAGAAGCTGCACTAGAGCTGCAAGCACTATAAATCCATGTTAATGACTGAATATATAGTACGCTTTCAGATAAAGCTAATTGCATTATGGGCATCGCAGTATTCATCTGCACTAGTATAAACGATTTCTTAGATAATTATAGTAAATAAACGGTTTTAATTAGTTAATTTTAGTAAATAAACGGTTTTAACTAGTTAATTTTAGAAAATCCAATGCAACAGTTTAACCTCAATTGTGCTGCTTTTATTCCTTCTTGTATATCAAAATACTATTTTCTAAGCTCCTGGCTCTACTTTCCGAACTCCTCCAAGTCAAAGCTACCAGGTTACCAGGTTACCAGGTTACAAGTCAAAGCATTCTAAAGAACGAGGGTATAAAGGGCCGTGTCTCTTGAAGGAACCCATTGAAACTCCGTTACTACACTGTAGCAAAGCACCGGTTTCTATTTAGTTTAGGAAGGACCTCGTTACATTAACCGTATTGTGTTGTGAACCCGTACAGAGCACTTTACGTGTGTAGTTTTAGTAATAATACCTTGTTTTACTTATAATACCCTGTTTTAGTTATAATACCCTGTTTTAGTTATAATACCTTGTTTTAGTTATAATACCTTGTTGTGCGATCGTGCAAAATACGTGAATAACGAATCTACTTGTGCTATCCTAATTAGCGTCAAGTTAACCAGAAGAAGCCTACCAAAATGCCCTCAGTAAATAAGAATGCGTGCTGAGCTCAATTTACCAATTTGCTGATTGGAGTTGGGTGAAACCATACTTTTTCGTTGGGGCAGTAAACACTGTTCTAATGTTGAGTGCAAGTATACTCACGACTCACTACTCAGTCAAGCTCTATCGAGTCTATGTTAAACTAAGTTGTAACTTTAACTTTTAAGTTATTATAGCTCTATGTAAGTGCATATTGTTTAATGTTTATTGAATTATTTAAGATCATAATTATGATTTTATCATAATTATGATAATGTTATAGGCAAGTTTCCATAAATAAAATTTTGTTATCAGCGCTGCGATAATCGCTTATTGGGCGCTTTTTCGGCGCTTTTTAAAAAAACAGCCGTTTATAATCGATTTTTTAACGATTATAAGCGGTTCAAAAAAAATCGCTTATAATCGACTATAATTGATGTAATAATTCAAAAAAGCGCTTTTGTTTCCCTAAAAGCGCCAATTAATAAGCGATTATCAGCGCTGATAACAAAATTCAATTTATGGAATCTTGCCATGTTATAAACTTGAAGACCTTATAGTTCAATAAAAACAATATATAACTTTACATTGTTTTATTGAATTGTAGGTCTCCATGATTCGATGACTAACTCATAAAACATTATTAAATAGTTGAGATGAACTTCATCAATTTCATTCGAATATTAATTACTTATATTATTTATCATTTATTCGAGTTTATTGTATACGTTATAATTTCTGTACTCTGTAAAGTTTGAAAAGTATTTAACAAAATTATATCGTCGCGCTTATAATTAGTTCACCATGAATTCAGGTGCCTTATCTACGTGAACATCATGTATGAAATTTTTGCCGCAAGGTTTCTCAGCTAAACCCTAATTTATTCGTTTACTGTCTAATATGTTTTATAATAAAAAATTGACCTACGATTATGGCCACTTGAATATTTAAATCACCCCACCCACTAACAATCTGATTAATTTGGCGATAACCAAGTTAAGGAGGATGTTGAACAATTATTTTGTCTAATAATTTTTGCTATTGATCTTTCAACACAAGAAAAATGTTAATAGATTTTCCAGATGAACCTTAAAAATTGGGTAAAGCAGCCCCTTCCCGTTGTCGGAAAATTATGAACTTCTTTGTCATTATCTTTGTCGTGATGCTGTCGGCTCCTTTAGTAGCTTATACTTTGTTCTAGTTTAATAGTTTAATTGACATTTGGATTAAACATTCTTGCTACATTATTATATCAGTTTTTATTATTATATTAGTTTTTTGTTCACTGTATTGGGCAAATAAAACGACAAACGTAGCCTTTAAAACGCAGCCACTAAAACGTAGAGGCTGCATTATTGTTTTAGTAGTTGATCGCCCGAAGTTCTCTCGCCATTGCTTTGATAATAAAGTTTATGTTGGTATAGTGCAATAGATTTAGCTCTGTATTAAACAGGAATTAAACTTTAAAGTTTAAACATGTATCTAACTTTATAGATAGATTTAGTATTTTGTATCTAACTTTATTGTCTCACCTGTTCTCAAGAAAGTTGATGGACCATCTAAGTCGACGAGTCTTTAACTTTTCATGATAATAGCAATAATTTTCTTTGTAGCAAAAGGAAGCTACTCCGTTTCAAGTTTAATTTTTGGAAAGAGTTCAGTTTTATCTGTTGAGGGGTTGTCAAGACAACAAAAATTGTTCCTACTGAACTATTATCGTTTCCAAGGCAACACTGAGATGCAGTTCGCGGTAAAATGTAAGAACTACGTAAAGTCGGAACAATTATGGAACTTCGAGGGTTACAGAAAACAAAGGAAGCAATCTTACTCCGGTATCAGTAGTGGAGGTGACCAGGTACCAATCATCTTGTGTCTTTTCAAATACAAGGAAATATATTTGTTGGAACTTTTAGTCGTTGAGTTTTTTGCTAAAATTAAAGGCGAGATCTGCTGCACTATGATGACTGGTTTCGCGTAAAACTAAAAACATTACTGATGATAAAAAATAGCAGAACCTTGAGCCGTAAAATTGGAGTTTTTGTAGGAGAATGATAATCAATTTAATAACGTTTTAATTCTAATTTATACTGTGGATAATCACAGACTCAATTCAAATGCAAACCTAATTCGTAAGCTTCTTTTAAAAGTTGTAGCATCATCTAACTAATTTTTAAAAGTTTCTCCAACCTCCCAATAATTCAATACGCAATATAAATAGTAACCAGGACAGCTGTGGACACTGACAACAATGGACGAAACACATTAACTTACTTAAGTACTTATAAAGTTACAAGACCTGTATAATCTCAAACTTCCCACCCTGCTCGTAAATTTTACATTTGTTCAGCGAGATTATACTTCTGACGTCAACTGTATGTGTATGTCATATCCGGATAGGAACATTATTTATAAGTCGGATTAGTACTGGGATGTTTCTGATGAAAATTTCTGATAATTCCGTATATAATGCGATAAAAGAAAATGGTCTTTTCAAGTAAAAGTAGTACCACAATATTTAAGCCACTAATTTATAACCGTTATACCCTGCCTTTGGCAGAAGCGCCTAATTGCCCACTAAGTTTATCCAACAGTTTATCTAACAGTGTAACAGACTGTTACTAACAGTAACACGAGAGGTTATTCAGCTGTATTGATACTACAAATACAGTCTCTAGGCGGTTATCTAAAACCCAGCAATTGATCCAGGAAGCTATTAACCCAACTAGGGTTAAAGCTCCTTTGATTCGGAGTAAGCAGCAGTGCACGTGACCTAGTGACCTGAAATCACGTGACTGCCCACTAGTGCCCACGTGACGTTAGTCATTCTCAAGGATTGGTCGGATGCGCACACGTGTTGGCAATTCTACTCGGGGGTTGGTCGGACGAGGTAAAATGAGGCCGATTAATGTACACTGTACAGGCATAACGGGCATGTACAGATCACAGGGCTTGATCCATATATTAGCGTCATTAAAGTCTGGAGTAACATGCTTCCCTGAGTGTGCTACCCCACTTTCCGCATTGTTCACCCCCTCTTTCCGTGTAGTACACCCCCTCTTTCCGGTGTGTCTTATGTGGAATTAATTCTTTTCTTTCTTTTCTGAGTTTGAGAGTCAAAGAGAATTGTTGTGTATAACCAGCGCAGATTGATCCTTCTACCCAAATATTATGTCTAAATTTAACAGATCCTAAGAGTTGTATGTATTTATGAATTGTAACTTATTATGTGCGCGGCATGTTTCTAGTTTAGTAGGATACTCACTGCGTAGTGCGTAGGTACGATGTTTCAAGCGGCCGCTATTCGATCAGCTAGTAATCAGGCCCACACTCTTTCGTGTTCTGCTATTACCTCTACCTTCAAAGCTGCTCCAGGGGTAGGTGGAGGGGGGAGGGCCTGACTTGTTCCCTTGGGAGACAACTGAGGGGGCCTTACTTGCTCCCTTGGGTGACAACTGAGGGGGCCTTACTTGCTCCCTTGGAGACAACTGAGGGGCCTTACTTGCTCCTTTGGGGACCACCCAAGAAAAACATTTGTTTTCTTTTCGTAAACCACGTCTACGTGCAAATAAACGATCAATCAATAATCATCAAAATGGATTTATAACTTTATGGAAATAACTATTGTTTCATATTTTTTACACTTGTTCTACACTAATTGTTCTAGACTTGTTCTACACTTGTTCTACACTTGTTCTACACTTGTTCTACATTTGTTCAAGACTTGTTCTAGACTTGTCCTAGACTTGTTCTAGACTCGTTCTAGACTTGTTCTAGACTCGTTCTAGACTTGTTCTAGACTTGTTCTAGACTTGTTCTAGACTTGTTCTAGACTCGTTCTAGACTTGTTCTAGACTTGCTCTAGACTTGTTCTACACTTGTTCTACACTTGTTCTAGACTTGTTCTAGACTTGTTCTAGACTTGTTCTAGACTCGTTCTAGACTTGTTCTAGACTTGTTCTAGACTTGTACTAGACTCGTTCTAGACTTGTTCTACACTTGTTCTACACTTGTTCTACACTTGTTCTACACTTGTTCTACACTTGTTCTACACTTGTTCTACACTTGTTCTACATATTGTAATCCTTTGTTTCCTCAGGCCAGTCTAAAGAAAGACGACCAATCAATAGAATCAGAGTTCGACAACAAACCCAAAGTAGTTGACTTTGGAAGGGATATTGTGCGAGTCAATGTCTGTGGCCAAGAACACTTCATACAGTAAGTTAAAATGCTTTGGTCACTGTGGTTACTGTGGTTACTGTGGTTACTGTGGTCATTGTGGTCATTGTGGTCACTGTGGTCACTGTGGTTACTGTGGTTACTGTGGTTACTGTGGTCATTGTGGTCATTATGGTCACTGTGGTCACTGTGGTGGTCACTGTGGTTAAATATGATATTTAAGCTTTTAAATCGATCACGTGATTTGAATTTTAAATCCCGTTCAGTAAAAAAAAACAAAAAAAACAAAAAAAAACATAATCTTTAAAATGAGACGAGATGATAACGAGGTGATATTAATAATAGCAACTATTTCAGTTCCACCCTACTCTCCAAGTATCCGCACACACTCCTCGGCTCAACTGAAAGAGAGCGCTACTTCAGAGCAGACCTCAACTCTTACTACTTTGACAGGAACAGACACGCGTTTGATGCGGTTATGGGATATTACTTGTCAGGGGGTGTATTCATGTATCCTTCTAAGCTGAACAGGTAATAGTCACGCAGCTTTATTCTTGTTCTTATCCTTTATTATTTATCATCTATCATTTGACACAGTCAGTAGGGAAAATGAAGATTCTCTACCTCATCAATAGATTCAGCTTTACTTTACTACTGTTTCCTGACATGACCATTTTGCTCGCTCTTATAAACTTCATTTTGTGACCCCCTTCATTTTGTGACCCCCTGAAATAGCCTAATTGGTCAAAAATGTGATAAAAGTGCTTAAAAACCACAGATTTTTGAGTGGTTTTAAATTATTTTTGTCAGAAAATAGAATAGCTTTACTGAACGTGATATGAAGATCACTCCGAACACTACAATACATCTCAGCATCTTACTCAATACAAGTTATAACTTAATTATATCGTGCCATTTAATAGGGTTACTAATATTGTACCAATATCCTCAACTTCAAATGAACACGATATACATCTAAAAAGGCACGATTATACGATGTATAGATCTAAAAAGACACGATTACATACATCTAAAAAGACACGATTACATACATCTAAAAGGACACGATTACATATTACATCTAAAAGGCACGATTACATATTACATCTATAAAGACTAACCCTTCAGAGAAGTTGTTCACAGAGAGATGTCTTTTTACAAAATACCAATATACGATGAACAGGAAGTCACTGCTGTCAAAATGCCTGTTCCAACTAATTTCAAAGAAAAGGTGGGAATTTTCAATTTTAACCAGCATGGAAACTGTTAAAAGTATTGAGAGAATCGTCTAGCATTTTTGATGACTCTTCTTGGAACTTTTTAAAAGAAAATAATCTTTACAATTTACAGTGAACTAACAACTTTTGATATGCCTTACACTATACTTATATTTATAACCTTATAACAAATGATATCACATGTATCAGGCACACATGTTGCTGAATTATCCTAAATACAGTAACCTGGCAACCGCTTTGTCAGTGTGCGACTGTGTTCTTATTTTCATCGCTGTGGCTATGCTTATTTTGGAGACAGAACCTCAGGTGGGATTAGGTCTTTTGGGATTATAAGTTGTGACTCACTATTTTATTTTTTGAAACCTTGAATAAAATAACGAGCCCATCATGTGTTATATGATTAATCAGAAACAAAACTGAAAACTGTCGTGTCAGATGATAACTGGAAATTCTTTCATTTCAGTTTAAAAATCATTTTGAAGTAACGTCGGACCCACTTTACAACTACCTGTTTGGACTCAACTCTGTTATAATGGTGAGGAATTAATCCTTTGCTTAAAAATGGTTTTAGTTAGAAAATTAAAGCCGACGAAATTAATAAAAGTACAATTTGTTAATACTCAAATAGCTTATCAAAAATAAAAATCTAGATCTGATAATTTTTTAATAAAAATATTCCTTGATTTTTCCATTACATTTTAAAACTAAACTTTGCCTTACAATTTATTTTCAGCTCTATTTTACTGTTGACTATCTCCTACGCCTATTTACGCACCCCACAAAAAAACAGTTCTTCAAGATGTTCCTACCGTGGCTGGACATGCTGTCTATCCTTCCTTTCTACGTGGAGGTCATCATGATGGCTTTTTCTACAAACCAACGAACTAATGCAGAAGGTATGACATAGTTTATATGTACGGTTTATCAGTTGCTAATCATATGGACAGTATACAAGCACAATACTTCATTTCATTTCATAGTCTGAATTTCTTCAGACGATAAAAGTAACAGTGGTCTAGTGGTTCTCACAGTGACCACAGTAACCACTAACCACAGTAACCACAGTAACCACAGTAACCACAGTAACCACAGTAATCACAGTAACCACAGTAACCACAGTAACCACAGTAACCAGAGTAACAACAGTAACCACAGTAACCATAGTTACCACAGTAACCACTAACCTCAGTAACCATAGTAACCACAGTAACCACAGTTACCACGGTAACCACAGTAACCACAGTATCCACAGTAACCTTCAGATGAGAAAAGTAACAGTGGTCTAGTGGTTCTCACAGTAACCACAGTAACCACAGTAACCACAGTAACCACAGTAACCACAGTAACCACAGTAACCACAGTAACCACAGTAACCACAGTAACCACAGTAACCACAGTAACCACAGTAACTACAGTAACCACAGTAACCACAGTAACCACAGTAACCACAGTAACCACAGTAACCACAGTAACCACAGTAACTACAGTAACCACAGTAACTACAGTAACCACAGTAACCTTTAGATGAGAAAAGTAACAGTGGTCTAGTGGTTCTCACAGTGACCACAGTAACCATAGTAACCACAGTAACCACAGTAACCACAGTTACCACAGTAACCACAGTAACCTTATTAACCACAGTAACCTTATTAACCACAGTAACCACAGTAACTACCGTAACTACAGTAACCACCGTAACCATAGTAACTATATTAACCACAGTAACCACAGTATAACCACATTAACCACAGTAACCACAGTTACCATAGTTACCACAGTAACCACTAACCTCAGTAACCAGAGTAACCGCAGTAACCATGGTAACCACAGTAACCACAGTAACCACATTAACCACAGTAACCACAGTAACCACAGTAACCACAGTAACCACAGTAACCTTCAAATGAGAAAAGTAACAGTGGTCTAGGGTTTCTAACAGTGACCACAGTAACCATAGTAACCACAGTAACCATAGTAACCACAGTTACCATCGTAGCCATAGTAACCACAGTAACCACAATAACCACAGTAACCTTCAGATGAGAAAAGTAACAGTGGTCTAGTGGTTCTGAGACTGTGCAGAATATTCCGTGTAACCAGAGTTTTCAAATTTGCAAGAAGATCCGAGAATCTCTTAATATTACTGAAAGCAGTTGGGAATACTTACAAAGAACTAATCTTGTTATCAGGTGAGCAGGGTGGAGATTGTAAAATTAACAATTATATTATAAATATTTAAATTTTCTGCTATATTCAATATTCATACTCATAGATACAATATATTCGGAAGGTGTAATCTAGGGCCTGTTGGATTATCTGGAATTAGTTCCGCCCAGATCTTTTAGCACCCATCGTCTTGCAGCATGTTTTGTGTCGCCATATTGCACAATGCACAACTCTTAAAAAGTCATCGGCGGTACAATTGCAATTCAGAAATTTCCGATTGTAGTGCTTAGTACTTTAGTAGGGAGCATCACGGCTCTCAACATACAAAGTAAAACAAGGCAAATAAGTGGTGGAAACTAAATAAAAATAATCGACGTTTCTACACTCATTGGCCTTTTACTATTAATAATTATAATATTATGTAATAATATGTTTTACTAATATGTTTTACTAATATGTTTTACTAATATGTTTTACTGATATGTTTTACTAATATGTTTTACTAATATGTTAATTTACTAATACTAGCAGGAACCCGTCTAACCCTAAAGTGGTGTCAAGACTCAAGAGACTAAAATAATTATTACCTATTTAATTCGCGTTTTTGACACCACTTGGGGGTCCAAATTTTGGGCTCTAAAACTCCTATTTCTTGGCCAATTTTTTATTTTTTCATGCTGATTTGAAGGCCATTAAAGCATTTGACCCAGTCAAAAAAGTTTCAGTTGTATATCTTTTACGGTTTTTGCGGAAAGTCGTGTTAAAGTTGATGCCGTGGTGTCAGTAAAATGGCACAGATAAATATATATATATATATATCTATATATATATATATCGTCTCGCTTTATATATAGTAAGATGTTTTACTAATATGTTTTACTAATATGTTTTACTAATGTGTTTTACTAATATATTTTACTAATATAATATGTTTTACTAGTTGTGGAACACAACAAGAAAATTGAAAATAATCTTGTGCGAGGGTAGGGACCCAGATGTCGTTTCTAACCCAAATAAACTTTAAGGAGGCTTCTCATCAGTAGCCGCACCTCCTAACTCGGTTTCTGAACTGGAATTCTATGGGCTTCCAGACGGCCAGACCAAGTATTACTATTCCATCCTTCTAGAGTTCATTACTAGTAGCACCCATCTTGAAGATCTTTGACACCCAGACACACCCCAATCCCATTGGCGAACAAACTTTGGATATAATCTTACATGCTCGCGAAGGAATCCCTGGTTTATGGTCTTTCACATCGTCACGAGCACTTTCACTACAGTCATATGTTTTACTAATATATTATATCAATATTCTACCTTATCGGACCTTATTTGGACGGACATTACTTGAACGCTGGAGGCCCTAGCGTTCATCTTAATGTCCGTTCAAATAAAGTCTGTTCAATTAATGTCCGTCAAAGTTAAAGTCCGTTGAATTTTTTCCAAAAATTTTTTCATTTCGAACTTTTTGTCCAGAATATGACAACTTTTTAATTTCATTCAGTTTCAATAGCTTTCATTAGAATAAACTATGTTGTTGAATTGATAAAAAAATGTATTATAAAATTTTAACAATCTGAATTGTAAATATCACATTATTGCATGATCACTATCTTGAAGTTGATCTTCGGCTTCTTCTACCTCCACATTTTCTCTTACAACTGGTTGTCTGTCCAACTCGTAGTCGTACCGGGCAATGAACGATCCCAACTGCTCTACTAGAGAGATACTTGAATGCCTAAAGTATAACAGCTTAAGCTTTATCTCTAGCCCCCCACTGGCCCACTTGGTATAGGTGGGATGATGATTAATCACTCTACACTCGACTGTCACGTGACTTTTTTAACCCATTCTCTAGCTGAATCTGAAAGACTTTTCGAAACCCTAACCCTCTAATCTGATCCCAACCCTAACCCTAACCCAATCCTTAACAAAAACATATGCTGAAACCCTAACCCTAACCCTTAATCCTTAACAAAAACATATGCTGAAACCCTAACCCTAACGAGAAATTAGACTAACTTCCTTATACGGTCATATCACGTGATCAATACAGTTTTTCGCCAATATCTCGTCAGGAGAGTATTTTAACCCTATGTCATGGAGGGTGATTCGGAATCAGCGGCCGAAAATACATCGATTGAAGTTGGGTACAACCATCGGGGCCCTTTTAGAACAATCTCGAAGATCGACTGTAGAGTGATTTAGCACGCTCGGTATAGGCGACCTTCGGTGGCTTATGTCAGCTACGATACCTTCTACCATACCACCCATATCTCGATAAAGTAGAAGACAAACCGGGTTATCTCCCTAGGTATGTGACCGACGGTATCTAATATAATCTTGTAGGTACCTTCGCACCTTATCTGCACAGCGCAGATAAGCTTACTGTATGAAAAATGGATTTAAAAATCTTTGCTAAAATTAAAAAAACTTTTAAAAAAAGATGAAAAAAATTCGGATTTTTGATGGTTTTGATTGCCTTCTAGCGTTCATATTAATGTCCGTTCATAATTATGTCCGTTCAAGTAATGTCCGTCCAAATAAGGTCCGATAAGGTAATATGTTTTACTATAATATGCTTTACTAATATTCTAACAATCTCGCTACCTCAGGTGTAGTATCACTAGCGGTGGTATCGTTTGGCAGTATCATGTACACGATAGAATCCCTCCCTCAGCCTGCCTGCTACAATGAAACGGCAGCAGATTTCCAGACCAACAAAACTGCAGTTTTAATATCCTGTGAGAAGACCCAGTTTAGTTCTATACTCATATCGTGTTGGTGGGCCGTTATCACCGTCACCACAGTGGGTTAGTAACCATAGTAACCATATTAACCATAGTAACCATAGTAAACATAGTAATCATAGTAACCATAGTAACCATAGTAACCATAGTAACCATAGTAACCACAGTAACCATGGTAACATAACAGTGACCACAGTAACCATGGTAACTATAGTAACCATAGTAACCACAGTAACCATGGTAACTACAGTAACCATAGTAACCATAGTAACTATAGTAACCATAGTAACCACAGTTACCACAGTAATCACAGTTACCACAGTAATCACAGTTACCACAGTTACCACAGTAACCACAGTTACCACAGTTACCACAGTTACCACAGTTACCACAGTTACCACAGTTACAACAGTTACCACAGTTACCATAACTCTTCTCCAGGATATGGTGACATGATACCTCTCTCAACCCTTGGAAAGTGCATGGGATCCTTCGCAGTGTTCTGTGGTCTGATTATAATAGCACTGCCAGCTACCATCATTGTTACTAGATTCTCTGAAGAATACGAGAGATCGAAAATGCAGAATGAGATGAGTCCCTTTTCTTCTGTGGCCATGTGAATTTTTACAGCAGAGATAAGTCCGCTCTTATTTGTGGCTTTGAGAATTGTTGCCATGGCAACAAGATGGTTAAAGCAGAAATTTGATTTACAGAAATAAAGTGGTCGACAAAAAGTTGTGTGGTTAAAACTGTAAGAAATTCACCAGTACCATATTGTTCTTCTGAGTTTTTACTTGTTGTAAGCTGCATGCAGTGAACAAAACTGCAAATGAAGTTTGCGTCATCAACTAATTAAGTGGAAATTAGGAACAGTATTTTGTAACCCAATTACAAATCACGACGATTTTTTAAAGTGGAGATGTATGTCAATATAACTGATCGGTTTTACATACACACAATCCATTATTGCGTCAGTTTTTCATTGTAATTTTGTAAAGCCCAGAAATGCAGTATAAAATGGGAATGTATTTAGCAAATTGATTGATCGGCATTAACGCCTTAAAATCTTTAAATATGATAAATTTAGAATTGTATAGTTTTCATTTTCTGAATGATTAAAAACAAGAAAATGCTATGTAAGTGTAACCTACGGTTATACTTATACTTTTTATCAAATATTTAACCAAAGAAATATTTAATATAACAGATAACTAAAATCATATAGCGTTATACCTTATCGGAATTCGGACGTTATTTGACCGAAAATTGCGTGATCAACAGGTACTTGCTCTAACCAGAGCCCTCTCGCTTGCAGTATATAGCGTCACGCAGTACGCGTAGACACGTGGCTATGTGAAAACAAGTACAATTTTGAACCCGACGGACATTAATTTTAACGCTGACATGATGGATAGAAGGCACTCAAAACTATTAACTAGAATTGCGCTCGTTTTTTTGTGGTGGCGGATACTAAACTTCCAATTCCATACACTTGCCACTGCACAAGCTCTGATCAGTTTATTTCGGCTTATTTACTAATTCTCTCGCCTTACAATTGACACGTGACTTTGGTTTTTATGGTTTTGCAGCCGAAAAAAAACGGTTAAAAAAAAGAATTCTTACCCTACGTTTTTTACCCTACGTTATCAGTCATGGAGAATGATTCGGAATCAACATCCAAAAATACACCGATTTAAATTACTTTCATACCCTTAGGGCCTTTTCACAAGATTTGTTTTGAGGCGAGCAATTTAGTGCGTGGGAGCGGTTCATTTCATAATGTACATTATATCAAGTTTAAGATCCGGGGAACCATTTGTGACTTTACCTGGGGACCCCAGGCTATTATGTTCATAAACATATATTATATAAACGCCGAATAGAGATTCGGCGGAGCCGGAATGACAGGCTGAGCGCCGCTCAGTAATCTGTAGCTGAGATTCAAATCGATTGCCTTGTTTAATTAAAATCATTAACTTAACTTCCATTTTATAATTATAGTTAGGATATTGAACCGGAAGCAAAACAATGCTGCACGCCGCCGTATTTCTTCAAAACAGCGGCGGCGTGGTTAAAATCGTCGGCGGCGGCGGCGTAATCGGCGTGGATTTCGAAAATTAAATGCCATGTGGATAGCAATTTTTAACAGTATTGAATTTTGACACGAGGCTCGTTACATCTGAGAGTTTATTTTCACAGAAGAAAATTGCTTATACACTAAATTAAAATGTATCTGTCGCATCTAGGTAAACTATAGGTAAAAATATAATATTAATCATAAGCTAAAATGTACTAATCGTTGTATTTTAAATGGGGAAAAGAAGAAACATTGTCAGTCAGTCGAGAAAATTGTCAGTCAGGCATATTCAAACGATCGAGACAAATGAAATACCCATATAACAATATAACATATTGATTATGATATAACAGTAGAAGCGTTTGGAGCTTTTAAAAATTGTATAAATAAATAAATATAATGATATCAACTATCAGAATAACTGATACACAATCTATCTACTGATAAACAATCTTACTATATTGTAGAGAAGAGAACAATTTATATGTTATAGAATAAAAAGAAAATAATAATAATATATAATATATTTTACCAAAACCCATAATTCATGGCCAGGTATAATATATTTTACCAAAACCCATAATTCATGGCCAGGTAGCGCAGTTGGTTAGAACGCCTGTCTTACAATCGTTAGGTTGCGAGTTCGAAACCCACTGACTGCCTGGTCGTGGGGTGAGCGTCGTCGACGTTCAGCTAAGGATCATGAGTGGTCTATGCAGCCCCCCGGTCTACTCAGCCGAATACTCGAGAAATCGGGTGTGAGGGTTAAATGAGGAGCTGCACATTGCAGCAAAGTCTCGGACGAAGAAAGTATGGTACACACTACCTTAACCGTCACTGGCCAAAAAGATCCTTCGGCTTCCTGTAATTGGCTGGTTGCACTTGTGTAACATTGTGGCTGTTGGAATACACCGAAGTAAAATAAGTGTCTAGATTAAAAAAAAAAAAAATGGGTAGAGTGGACCGCTGTCAGTGTCTCTCTTTCCCAAACAAAAGGAAATGATATTACTTTGATTGACCGTTCTCAAATGCAAAATGATACCGAGAATGAAATCGGTCGCTCGCTTTTCCCATTCATTCACGGCTTACGAATTGTAATAAGTTTCGATTGATTACATCAATCAGATGCTGTAAAAATCTCTTTGGGTTGCGTTCGGGTCGATACCTAGTATTTCGGGGTAAGGGTGGTAGTTATTAGTATTACTTATTGAATTAGCTGAAGTTTATTGAATCTTCATTGCCGAGTACAGCTGCCTTTGGGTAGTTCTTCTTAATCTATTACAATTGTAAATGAATGGGAAAAGCGAGCGACCGATTTCATTCTCGGTATCATTTTGCATTTGAGAACGGTCAATCAAAGTAATATCATTTCCTTTTGTTTGGGAAAGAGAGACACTGACAGCGGTCCACTCTACCCATGATTAGGGGTTTTGGTAAAATACAGGGTGGGCCAAAAGTCAGTACCCATACGTTGGCCTTTATAGCTCAGTCACTGAGTGCCCAATTTAAATACTTCTTTCTGGTATGACTTAGTACCACCACTGGTTCGAGGAATTTGTCAACTCGAAAAATATTCGCGTTCATTTTTTTCAAATAGAGGTTCATTTTCACATTTATTTGATAGTTTGGATAGTCGGATCAAGCTAAATGTTATTGAATTGTGTTTGGCCATTCGAATTACGTTTGTCCTGAAAGAATTAGAACTGTAGCTTCTCAGATGACCGAGATATGAAGCATAACGAGTTTATTCATTACGTGTGATCAGGTGATTGGTTTACCTAATCACGTGATAAGGTGACCCCGTTAACTACCCCGTTAAACATTATGGGAATTGTTAAGGGTGCCCAATTAAGGTGTCGTGTCACGGTGTCACATAATCACCCAGTCAATTTCGTTAACGAGATACAGAACATGCTTGATAACTTCGTCATTTCTAATCCGTTTTGCCTCATGTTTTCAGATCATATGCAACATTTGACAATCTACCGTCTCTGAAAAAATTAGGCGTTCAGCATGTTCAGAGAAAACAATATAGGTGTTTTAATATTGAATGGGCGTGGTCTAAAATATTCGAATTTTCAAATTTTGACGACGGAATCCTCGAACCAGTAAGTACAGTATGCCATCTGCAAAGCAACAGCTCTCAAATATAAAACACGGCGGAGCTATTAAGGCCAACGTATGGGTACTGACTTTTGGCCCACCCTGTATCATCTCTTTTTGATTATAATGTCAGGGTACTTTATAAAGTCGAAATATAAACTGATATCTTCATTAATAAGGAGGAAGTTTCAACGATTTCGAAATCTATCCTTTAAAAACATTTCCTTGTGTTTAGGGAAGCATATCGGTCGATCACTGACTGAATATGCCACTTAATACTCATTCAAGTTGGCATTAAATTCATATATAATGACATTAAACTGTCGTGGCAAAGCAGAATTTGTTGGAAATCACGAATGAGCAAAATTCTCACCTTTCGCACGTGCAAACTTTGAGCAGACGTTGCGTGCGCATCCAATATTGAATCGCCGTAAATTTTTGCATGTAATTGTTTTATATATAGCTTGATAAGCATGCAAAGTTTCGAAGTATTTCAAGAAGAACTGTAATCACAACGGCACTCTAAAGTTGACAGAAAATGACGAAAACAGCAATTTTCAGTGATTTTAGCGATTTTCTATCAATTTGGGCGTGTCCCAACGTGTGCAACTTTTCGATTTTCAACTTTAAAACTAGCCTATGACACAATTTATACCTATAGGAAGCAGAACTGAGCTCCACAACCCAAGGCATGGCCCAACACCAGAGAATACTAAATCGCAAAATTGACGTTTTTATAAAATAATTCTTCAAAAAAGCACAAACTTCAATGACGAATATCTTTATGAAGGAGCAAGCTAGAAAAACTTTCTGGTAGATTTTCAGAATGCTTGAACAATTATCTAAGGTGAAAATTTCCTCAGATTTTGAATAAAATTACTCCTTAATGGTTTAAAATTAATTTCAAAAGTTATTACTTTGTCAAAAATCAAGTTTTAAAAACGGTTAACTTGATGACGTCATCAAGGGGTGTTTATGACGTCATATAATTTTTTTATACAATGTAAACTAAAGTATAAACAATTATTTGCAAGACCTGTGGTCGGAAATGGCTGTATCTTTTATACTTTTGAATCTATGGACAATTAAATACAGGCTACAATTGACTGGCAAAGCGTCTATCCCTGAATATATAAACAGGATTAAACAGGATTAAACATGAAATTACCAGAGAGAACACTAACGGACTCGTCTTGGCTATACAAGAATGAATAAATGAATAAATGAATAAATGAATAAATGAATAAATGAATAAATGAATAAATGAATAAATGAATAAATGAATAAATGAATAAATGAATAAATGAATAAATGAATAAATGAATAAATGAATAAATGAATAAATGAATAAATGAATAAATGAATAAATGAATAAATGAATAAATGAATAAATGAATAAATGAATAAATGAATAAATGAATAAATGAATAAATGAATAAATGAATAAATGAATAAATGAATAAATGAATAAATAAAATTATCAAAACTGAATCATTTAAAAATAGTAAAATTTAACCGTTTACAATTTCACGAAAATAAAAGAAGATCGTCTATAATAATTTAAGGTAATCCAGTAAATAAAGTTCGAGTACTACATCTGTTTGCGAGGGTTAAGGGACGTTTTAGGAGGATTACGTAGATTTGAGGAGTCTGTAAGGTACTTCCCGAACTCTTTTATATGGAGTGAGTTCATTATTGCTCCATATTCTTTTAGCATCAACAGGCTTTTGAGGTTGTCAGAGAGGTTGGACCTGAGTTGATGGTAGTAGGGGCACTCAGTTAGGACGTGGTCTTCGGTTTCTAGAATAGGAGTTTCAAAGAAGGGGAGCTCCTCTAAAAAACGTATGACATCCGTTTCTGAGGAGCAGCAGAAGCGACACGTTTTAAGAGCTGTGTTGAGTTGATCTTT